AACAAATTTTATATAAGAAAATGTAACAATGAACCTAAAACATTAGCACCAACCATTTCTTGTGTTCTAGACCAGCGTTTCTTAAACTTTTTGATGAGTGGAACCCTTTTTAATGACCACATTTATCGTGGAACCCCTGGCATCATTCAATTTTTTTAATGAAAGGTTTTAATGCAATAATTGTACAAATAAATAATTCGCAACAAAAATTAGAGTTATTTTAGATAATATTTATTTGCTTCAAAAAGTACTTTCAAAATTAATACAAAAATTATTAAAATAACGTTTAATGGGAGGAGTGGTGCTGCTTTTTAATACCGCAGATATATTTAATATTAGGCTTTATGGATGAAAGTTGATATTTATCTTTCAAACTGCACCAAAATTGTACTAACGGCATTGATTTAAATTTTTCTTGCAACGATGAATTAGATGTCATTTCAATCAAAGTTTCATATTCTTCTGACGACATGGTTAAAGGTCGTCTATTGATAATAAATGGGTTTTTAATCCACAGTTAGAAAAGCACGTACTTCGTCCCTTACTTCAAACAAACGGGTGAGTATCTTTCCTCGTGACAACCATCTGACTTCAGTATGTAACAGAAGAAATATATGTACACTTCTCATTTCCTCACATAGTATTTTGAATAAACGATTATTTAGAGGCCGAAATTTTATGAAGTTAATGATTTTGACCACCTCATCGAGAGCCTTCTTATAACTGGGGAATAATTTCTTTGCAGCAAGTGCCTGCGACTGCCTATGTAACATACAGTGACTGCTAGAAGAGCTTGTGGCGATATTTTTAATAAGCTGTAGAGCCCAAATTGTGCCACTCATGGCTTTTGCTCCATCTGTACAGATACCGATGCAGTTGTCCCACCGTATTTTATTGTCTTCAAGAAAAGAATTTTAGAGACTAAATATTTCCAGTCTGATATTGCGTTTTCATACTAGTACCTAACGATGACAATTAATATTGCGAGTCCAGCTACATCGGTAGATTCGTCCATTTGTAATGCAAATTTGCATGATATCAGGCGAAACGTAAGTTCATTCTTTATATTGGTTGCTAAATTTCTGATGCGCTGAGCTACCGTGTCATTCGATAGTGGGATCTTACCTATTTCTTCTGCTGATTTTTCATCTAACATACATTTTACCATCTCCATTCCGCAATTGAGTAGGCTTCGCCACGTTGAGCTATTTGATAACTGACAAAGTAAGAGGCCTCTTGTAGTGTACCCTGATGAATTAAAGGAGGTTTTTTGATTCCTTCCCAGTTTTGGTTGAATTCCCAATAATTTACTTCTTAACGTTGTACAACCAGTACTTCCACCTCTCTTTATACTTCTAGATGGGTTTTTTAAACGACATCAAAACTACATATGGGGACCAGACTGTCTCCGACATCAAGAGACTGATGAAGGCTAAGAAAAAGCTAGCCAACTTTAACAATAGGAAGCATTTCGTCCTCAAGTGCCGGAGAACAGGCATCGTTCCAAAGCATATTAAAGACAACTCGAAACACCTTTACAACACCATCGATAGATGTTCCACACGGATGTCAGGAAGGATTGATGCGTCCATCCATAGGTTAGGAATTAAAGAAGAAGTTAATGACGTAACATCTGATTTTAAGTTTGATATAAGCTTTTCTACTTAAGGAGAAAAGGCCTGCAGATAAGGGACAGGTTACCGTGGTTTTGAACCAATCCCAATATGTTAATAAGTCCCTCTCATTATTATCTGACGCCTCCGCTTATAAGGTGCTTAAGTCAGACCCTACTTCTTTCATCCAGAGGAAACAGAACAAGCTCTGCAAGGAATTGCCCGATAAAGAATACATCTCTAAGCAAATATATAGTTCTTTGGTGTGTTATAATGGTATTGCTCCGAAATTTTATGGCCTCCCAACAATACACAAAGAAGGGTCGCTATTGAGACCGATTATTTCCCTTGTCGGGTCTCCTACTTATCGGTTGTCCAGCTACCTGGCTACTATCTTGTCAGCAGCTGTCTCTAATAGAACCACCTACAATATCAGTGACTCCTTTGCCTTTGCTGACGAGATGAGAAATCTTACCTTGCCTCCGGATCATTAACATCCCACTAACATCCCCCTACAACGGTGATTAATAGGTTATCGGCAGAGTGAAACTTTATACAACCTCACAGGGAGATCCCTCACGATTTATTTCTCAAGATCGTCGAGTTTCTATTCGATTCCTCGGTTTTCTCCTTTCGTGATAAGTTCTACAAACAAAAGTTCGGCACACCCACGGGCAATCCTCTCAGTCCTATCTTAGCCACTATTGTCATGGACTGGATTTTGGATGGTTGCATTCCCAAGCTTCCATTCCAACTACCCTTCATTTATAAATATGTCGACTACATTATCTGCTCCGTTCCGTATGACAGATTATTGGTTGTGCAAAGGGAATTTAACTCTATCAACCCCCACATCCAGTTCACCATCGAGACCGAATCTGATAATAGTGTTCCCTTTTTGAACTCGTGTATCATCAGAAAGAGTGACCAACATGTTGTCTTGGATTGGTATAGAAAGCCCACCTATTCTGGTCGTCTCATCAACTTCTTCTCATGCCACCCTATTCAAATCAAAATCAACACCCTTAGGGGTATGAAGAATAGGATTCTTCGCATTTCAGACCATGAGTTTAGAGATCGTAACCTTAAACTCTTAGAGGATATATTCTGTAACAACGGTTTTCCACGTTCTTTAGTTAATAGAGTCCTTCATTCTCCTGATAGGCCATCCCGTAACATCCCCAGTCACAATACCACTTCACAGCTTGATTGGTCGATGACTCACCCCCGTGATGACGATTTGATCGTAGCACTTCCCACTTTTGCTAAAGTACCTTCATTCCCGAACTCACTGACAATTTAGTCAACATCTTCAGTGATTACCCGTTGAAGTTTGCAAAATACACCTGCAAACCTGTCAGAAGATTGTTCTCGAGGTTGAAAGACCCTACCCCCCTTCTCCTCCAATCCAACTTGGTCTACAAGACCGATTGTAAGGGTTGTGCTATGTAGGCATTACGTCCCAATATCTTAAATCGAGGGTGTCCCAACACACTAGAGATTGTACTGCAAAAAAATCGCTTGCACTGCGCTTGCTGAACATCGTGTCTCTACGACCCACATGTTTGACTTCGATCAGACCAGTATTCTATGCAGGGCGAACTTATATAGTAGGAGACTCTTCCTAGAGATGTTTCACATTTCCTCCTTGTTTAAACACGGAGCATGTTTCGGCCATTTGTCTTACCCTTTTAATTTTGTTTAATAATCCCCCTTCCTTGGTTGTGTTTCTTAGAACCAACATTTAACTTTTGGTCAACCTTCTGCCGTTTCTTAATTTCGGCCTTAGGGTCTTTTATTTGAATAAATTTTTAATCAAATTTCTTATTAGGGCGTTTTAGATGTTTCCAACAACAACGTCATCTGTTCCCTCTGTCGAGCGTCAACCTGGTGACTTTTGTTTCCTTCAGTTTTCCACCAGAGACAGTTGCCGTCTCTTGTTCGATCGGTTTCGCGCCTTTTATTGACGGTTGATCGCGTTGGTGGTTAACCACGTTGTCGTAACAGTTTTTACATTTTAACCTCTAAATGTAAGTCTCACCATCTTGTTGGAATTACATCGTAATTGACCCTGTATTCTTTTGTAGTGTACCTTGATGAAGATAAGAATATATTTATCGAAAGCTTGGTCCAATTAAAGGAGGTTTTTTGATTCCTTATCCGTTTTGATTGAATTCCCAATAATTTAAACTTACTTCTTAACGTTGTACAACCAGTACTTCTACCTCTCTTTAATTTTACAAGTTCGTCACACTTTCGCTTGAAAAATTCAAAATGTCGACATACCTTAGCTGGAGCCATAGAGCTATTTGGAAGAACTTTACTACATATAACGCACTGCGGATTACCATTACTGTTCATAAATCCTAAGGATATACCTATAACTTTCATCATACCTCCTACGTTTTTTAGTAACTATTTTGGATTCAACACTTGTAGAAGCATTTATTTTTTTATTTTCTTTTGGGTCGATTTGATTTGTATCGGTGTCATTGTTTTCATCACTATGTTTTTTAAAACAAGTAGACGTTAAAGCTGAAGCTGTTGCATCTACACTTGAACATTTTAGGCTGCCGTTTTTAAGCCACCTGTCCATACTGCAAAACATTGGTAACAATGTTAGGAGAAAAAAAGCGATTCGGAAAAGGTTGCCGATCAAAACTGTAACGCGAACTGTAAAACGGTAACTGTCTTCTCCGGGCCAATGAAAGTTTCTGGGTTGGTTGGACCAAAAGGATGCGCTGCCCAACCCTTGACTATTCTCCACGAAACTCCAGGGTTCCGCGGAACACAGTTTAAGAAACGCTGTTCTAAACTATCGCTAGATTTCTACTAGTAGTGTTCTTCGTAAAGTTAATTCTAGTTTTAGTTGTTATTTAGCATCAGGTTGTTGTATATTCTTATTGAACTAAAACTAGAAATAACACTAAACATACAATTAGACACATTCGGGTTCAACCGCACGTCTCTTAAAACGGCTAAACCCAAATGTATCTATTTCTAGAGGTAGTGTTGTTTCTAGTATTAGTTATTATTCAGCATAGTTGTTAACTAATAGCTTTTAGTAATAGTTGGAGTATTAATTTCAATTGTATGTCTATATTTACATGGTTAAATGACAAAATAACATGTAGGGAGTAATATACCTATACTATTCATGTTACTTTGCCTTTGACAGTTAACCTCCTGTGTGTTGTACAGTGGTGGGTTTGTGCATTTCGAAACAAACCGCTATTTGCGCGTCATTACAGAACAATGAGCATTGAAACAAAGCTGTAACAGCTTTCAACGGACTGTAAGACCTTAATAAAATAATAAATTTACTCTGAATGGTTCAAAATGTTAAATTTAAAAACACGCTTTAAGTAACTTTTAAAATTCACTTACCACTTTTTGCCACTGAACGGTCGCGTTACTTGGCTTGAGTTGAAACATTTCCTCTCCAAACGTCTCCAAAGTAGCTACCTCCTTCAAGAACCAGTACTCCGCGGTGCAAGGTTTCATGTCCGCACAGTTTTTATGTTCCGCGACGAGTTTCCAGAGAAGATCTTGATGTGAAACGGAAGCGTCTCGAGGGATTATGGTCCTGAGGACGGCATAAATGTTTTGCGGATGGTGCTGATGGCTGTAGTTACCGAATTCCGCTTGAGCTATCAACGCTACAAGTCGTACGGCTATGTCCGAATCGGGAACGATGAGCTTCTTTTCGCACAGATCGAGACGCGCGTGGAGATAAAATTGATGCCTGAAATACAGATAGAAAAGGCGGTGATAAGAATCTCTGCGTGGAATACAAAAGAGGTGATATAGAAAAATGATGCGATGGAGATACGGAAGAAATCTGGAATAGGGATAGTTTTCACTGGTTAACGGAGTTATTTTATGCGGAGGATTGATGTCAGAGTTAAAGGATATAAAGTTCGTGGGTATTTTTTGGGGAAAACGACGGTTGAAACGAAAGGAGAAGGAGAGAGAATAAAAGAAAATAAGTCTTAAAAATGTCGAAGGGTGGATTTATCGCGGAAGTTATAGTTGGACGTATACAAAGAAAACTTGGTTAAAACTTTTTATTTTGGGGGAAAATAAAAAAGGAGCATATTTTTCGTAGATTATATTGGATTAAAGAGCTTTCTCTGATAAATTTTCACAATCAAACTTTGTTTCTCGTCGGAGATATTCTCGTTATTTTTTTTATTGTAAAATTACCAATATAAGAAGAACCCTCGATAAAAAAACGGTACGGTTATGAGTTTTCCCACTTGTGTGTAAAGTTATGGGCATTAAAACAATATTTCTTAGGACCGGGTGTGTCGGAAACGAACTTATATTTTAGTTACTGTAACGGACGTGTTGTTGAGGTTTGCAAGCAGACGTTTAGACCAAACTTTAAGTTGAGTTTAATTTCAAGCGAAAGAAGTATTTTTAATTATATATTTTTGTTCCATATTTCTTAGGCACTGAAGCCGAAGCGCTACAATCAAGAAATTTAAAAATAAAACCCGAACAAGACAGCGCCTCAGCTGTAAGCAACCTTGGCTTTATTCTCGCAACTAGCGACAATAATATATCGTGACCTTGTCATGCCTTGTTAGTATTATACGTTACGGCAGCGGAGATACATTTCTATTGATTTTGAAAGATAAAAGCCGAGGCGCCAGAATCTCGAGCCACGAGCCACCTGAGCTGTGTTCCATCAGATGAAGAATTGTATAGTATTACCTTACTATTGTATAGTAAGGTAGCAAAGATATATTTCTGCCAGTTGTGAAAGACTGAAGCCGGGACCGCTTCCAGCCGAGACGCTACATTCGAAGTACTTAAAAATAAAATCAAACCGTAAGCGACCACGACTTCATTCACTTAAGTTGCAATGACAATATATTGTGACCTTATCATATAAATAAGTATTAACGGAGCGAAGATACCGTTCTATTGGTTCTAAAAGATACAAGCCGAGTATGCTTACGGCCGAGGTGCTACAATTTATACCGTTATGCAGCTCAGCTGCAAGCCACCATGGCTACGTTTCATTAGATGTAGAAGTAAGACGTTTTCGTATGCTAAGGTAGTAAAGATATATTTCTGCCAGTTGAATAGCGGAATTTGAAGATAACACCCAATCGAAACGACAATTGAGTTGGCTTTATTCCCACAAACAATTCTCCCTGCACTGGTATTTTGCATTACTTATTCTAGCGTTTGAAGTCTATACCGTTAAGGGTAAAACGCGATTGAGTTTTGCCGTGTCTGGGCATATTCTGACATTATGTAAAATTTGCCTTCCCCATTTTAATTTCAGCTGTAATTAATCTGTCGCTCCTTAGTTTATGTCAACTACTTTATGGATGATCTTTTGATTTAAGCTGCTGCTACCTTAGGGTTACCCAAATACCATAGCATACAATCTTCATAATCTGATCCCTTGCCTTTCTTCTTGGTTTCGGAGATAGCACAAATGTTTATTTTGTGTTTTTTAAGTTTTGCGATACTGCTACATCCCAAGAACAAGTACACAGCTCGACGGCCCGTATTAAGTATTTTGTAAGTATTCCTTTCATGGTGGCAGAATAAATGAAGAAGTGGCTAACATTTTTGGCAATAGTGTAAAATAAAATGTTATGCCAACGATATGCAGCGACACAATATGTAAATTCAGCAACCGCGTTGTGTATTGTAGTTAACGTAGTATTGATAGCAAGGTTGTTCAGAAGCGAAACTCAGACTTTCCAGACCCTAAATGCAAATTATTGATTTCCATAAATAGATTTAGATATTAGCTTGGGTTGGCTTCATTTATTCTGCCACCTTGAAAAGAATACTTAATACGGGCCTTCGAGCTGTGCATGCCACTACTGGGCTTACAGCTTTTTATTACAAATTTCAATGTAACAATGTGGTGGTTGAGATTTTCAAAACTTTGGTATTTGTTTCTGAAACAACAAGAACGCAAGTACGCCGATACAAGTGTAGACATTTTTCGCTTATCACCCTATATTATTATATCCCATCCAATGCACCAAAACCAAAATTCATTGAATTCGATAGCTCTCATATCGTTGTCTCCCCTTGTTAGTAATGGTAGATTAGATATCATTCTAAATCATACTAACAGAGATTATATTTAACATTTGTCGGTTGCAATGACTGTCTTAAATATTAAATAAAATCCAAAAATGTTTTTACTACTGGTTTTATGTTTCAAATTCTTTTAATTTAACCTGACATGTTTTGATTTAAAGATGATCGTCGAAGGTATCGTCAAACAAATAATCATACGATGACAAATAAAAACATTTTTAGTTTTTATTTAATCGTTGTACTGATTAAACTATGGATCTACATATTTTACAATTCAGTTTAAAGCCGAGATCGTTAATTAAGGTTTTGTCCCATCTCTATTCATGAAAATGATAGTATTGTTCTCTAGATGAAGCCAACTTCTGCGAGGAAGTCTAGACACTGCTTGTTTGAACATTCTATGAAGTATATATCATCACCTGAGAATTCCTGAGAAGTCCTTTACATCTACAACACAGTAACTTGGATTTAAAAGTTAGCATATCGTTTTTCTTTCGTTGTTATGACCAAAGGTTATGTCTAATTCATGTTAGGATATTATTATTAAACTGCATTTTGATGTTTATAGAATGAACATGGTTGTAATAATAACGTACAATGTACGTTATCAAAATACATTAACTACAAAACTGTGTGAACCATGTCCGTAAACGGAAATGATACTAATTTTATACAAAGTTTTTCTTTACTGTTACTAGGTACTTATTACACAGTAAGTTTTTGGTTAATTTATGGCAAGTATTTCAGCATTGATTTGATTTCTTCTGCCTTTTTCTTAACATACACGCTGGCTTTTTTGAAATGCACTTTACATTATTAATAAAACAGTCTATATTAATACTACAATTGGGTCTACTACGTTGACTTTGGTTACATCCAGTTTCATTTAGTCTAACAGTTGCGAAAATACCATTGAAGAAGATTTTATACCTAATATACAATTATGGAGTTATTTCAATAAATTTAATTTTTGAATCTTGGACGTTGCAATGTCCAGGTTCGGAGAATTTTGGTTGTATCCATTTTATTTGTGGTTGATTTGATGAAACGCTACAGTCCAAGACACATAATACTATTCCTATTCTACGAAATACAGGAATTAGCCCAAATGATCAGTGTTTTTAATTCCGGAAAATCTGAAACAAGTTGGTCCGAAATTTTCAGTAGACTGCCGCAAATCTAATTTCCTGCTTTTGCAGATATCATTTCGTGCCAAACAGCGCAACCGTTTCCACTAAAACAAATCATTAACTCCTACTGACAGGAGAGATCAGTAACTAATTGAAACTATTATTTTGAACCAACTCCTATGTCACGTTGTTGAGTGCTCTGTTATCATTGCCAGGGGACTGGCCAAGGTACAATATTATTGCATTCAGTAAGGTTATGCTCTTAATTCATTCATTCACTTCTCTTATTTTAATTGATTCAGGTAATCACAATCCGAAGTAAATATGATACAATCATAATTCAACTAATGCCGAAAGCTATTAACCATTAACCTCAAAACAGAAGTTAAATACCTAGGAGTAATAATTCCTGGAACTCACACTTAGATAAGGTGAGGAAAAAGGCCATCATGGCAAACCAGACCTGCCGCAGGCTCCTAGGAAGGAACTGGGGTCTCAAACCACGAATGGCAAATACTTTGAAAGTGACATTATTCTTTGTCACTCATTAGAATTAAAATAGTAGACTAATACTGATTTAAGATGGCTTTTAAAATCTTTTATTTTTTTTTTGTTTTTCGGCCATATTTTAAAAACTAAAACGACTAAATCCAAAAACTTAGTTGAAAAATGATGAGGTCTAACATACGCCACCATTTCTGTATCTCTTATGATTTCTGAGATCTAAATGGTGGGGGTCGAATTTGAATTACCCTGTATATACAAAAGGAGGCAGCTTCAAGTGCCTTATCACTGAAAATAGTTTCTCCACTCAAGTTGATGCATGGCAACCTTAGAGGACACCCCGAAATCCTCAAGGACCCATGTCTAAATAAGCCGTATAAGGTCATATTTAGAAGCAGGGATGCTTCAAAGACAGTTAGATTCGGAGTAGGTATGGGCACCAGTCGACCAAACGGCCACATTAAACTGCCCCTCAGCTCGGACATAACAATTTTCCAAGAAGAAGTTCTTGCTATAAACTTGCACCACTTTGAACCTACAGAAGGGACAGAAAGATGTATCCATAAACATTTTCACAGACAATCGGGCCGCCTTAAAGGCAATTCAGGCCTACATGTGTGACTCCGCACTGATCAGAGAGTGTACCAGCAACCTTAGAGAACTCGCTAAGGGCAATGATGTTACTCTATGGTGGGTTGCAGGTCACAGCTACATTGTGGGCAATGAGAAGGCGGCCAAGGTGGCCAAGAAAATACCGAACACTCCCTTCATTGGACCCCAACGTGGCTGTGGGCTACAAAAAAGACACCTAAAACAAATAATCAACAATTGGGAGGTCTCAAAGGTAGCCTTACGCTGGAAAGAATTTCCAGGTCTCAGCAAAGGGGATCTAACGACGTTCTCAGGCTACCTGACCGGCCTAAAATACCATCTCTTCCACATTGGACAAGCTGAGGATCAAACTTGTCGACTTTGCAACGACGAGTCAGAAACCGCTGAATTATATGATGAGGCCGTCTAAGACCCAACATTT